CCGGCCCGAACTGTTGCCTCCACACCAGTCACTCCCCTCTCTCTCTCTCTCTCCCCCCCCCTCTCTCTCTCTCTCGTCTACCACCGCCGCCGCCCCCATACCAGTGAGAGGCCGGCGACACAGTCCCTCTCACATCTCCAGTGTACACATCCACTACTACAACACCTCAGTCGATTCTCTATTCCTCTACCCTATACACCTGGTATTTCAACATCACCACCACCATCAACACCTTCACACAGGTACTTCAACATCACCTCCACCACACCTATCATCACAAACTACCACCATTCTTAATGATAAATCTACTACACCTCTGCCACAACCACCATTCACTGGTACACTACTACACTCCTACCATCACCATTCGCACAGGTACCACTACACTCTTACCTCTACCACAATTCACACAGCTACCACTACCACCATTCACACAGGAACCATTACACCCTTACCACTACCACCATTTACACAGCTACACCACTACCACCATTCACACAGGTACACCACTACCACCATTCACACAGGTGCACCCCACCACCATTCACACAGGTACACCCCTACCACCATTCACACAGGTACACCCCTACCATTCACACAGGTACACCACTACCACCATTCACACAGGCACCCCTACCACTATTCACAGGTACACCCCAACCACCATTCACACAGGTTACCCCCACCACCATTCACACAGGTACACCCCTCACCATTCACACAGGTACACCCCTACCACCATTCACACAGGTACACCCCTACCACCATTCACACAGGTACACCCCTACACACCCTGACAACAGACCTTGATCATCACAATTCCCTCTTCCTGTGGCAGCGACAAGTGTTTCAATCTGGTCACGCTGCATATGATCTTTCAGTGTAAAAGTGAATAACCACCATACTGTCATTCACACCCATCATACTGTCATTCATACACACCATACTGTCATTCATACTCACCATACTGTCATTCACACTCCCCATCATACTGTCATTCATACCACCATACTGTCATTCATACTCACCATACTGTCATTCACATCCACCATACTGTCATTCATACACACCATACTGTCATTCACATCCATTATACTGTCATTCATACACACCATACTGTCATTCATACCCACCATACTGTCATTCACACTCATCATACTGCTTCAATTATACCCACCATACTGTCATTGAAACAGGGAGCAAGGAAGGAAGAGGAGGAGGAAGAGAAGACGGAGAAGAGGGAGAAGGAGAAGAGGGAGAAGGAGAAGAGGGAGAAGGAGAAGGAGGGAGAAGGAGGAGGAGGGAGAAGGAGAAGAGGGAGAAGGAGAAGAGGGAGGAGGAGGAGGAGTAGTGTAGTAACAACATGACTCACACTTGCCACAGCCAGCCTCGTCACCCACAGGTAGACAGACACTTATCTGCATCACACACACACACACACACACACACACACACACACCTAACTCCTACCGCAAACCTCCCTGATACATTTAGTGGATCAACTGAAGAATCTCCAACCCGGCTTATTTCACCTAAAGATTAACCACCCTACACCTAACCTAACCTAACCTAACCTATCGACCTTATGCTAAGTAAGTAAATAATAATAATCTACGCACCTGTTGGCACTCTCAATCAGTCCCCTTACACCAACTCTCCTACCTATGACTTTCTCCCCCCTTCCTTTGGACCCCAGGATTGCATAGCCTCGGACCCCCCAGCCTCCTCCCTCCATGTATCCAATTGCATGTACTTTCCTCCACACACGCACCCACCCCAGCTAACCCCCCCCCCACCTCCCACCCGGACACTCATACGCCCCTCTCACCCCCTCCCCCATATTCCTTGCCAATCTACCCTACTAGTACACAGGAAGGGTAAGGGAGATGTAGGGATGAGGGAGGGATGTAGGGAGGGATGTAGGGAGGGATGGGGAGGGATGTAGGGAGGATGAAGGAGGGATGGGGAGGGGTGGTCGCCTCAACATCACTTATCAACCTACCCAGCAGTACCTCCTCGAGCATCACCCAAATATTAAAACTACAGGTGGTCCAAAATGAAGCCCTGAGATTCATCACAGGTGAGAGATACCCCTTCACCAGAACCACAGCCGAGATACATAGAGACCTGAGGATATAACCCATCAACCAACAGCTATACACCCTGGCCAACAGAGTCTGGCAAAAGATAGAACCATCAAAGCAAGAACTCCTTCAAAGACTCCAACCAGACAACGACAACAACCATAGATGGTGCCCAGAAGTTACCAAACCTCAAGAAATCCATTACAACCCCCGATCTATACGGCCAGGCACTAGACAACCTCCCTAGACCAGTACCCCCTAGTAGGGTCGGCGGAATATATGGTCCTCAAAACACCCATATATGAGATAGGGTAGGCTGTTTAGGGCGTGTGCCGACAGAGCGGTCAACCAACCTGTAAACCAACTCTAAGAAAACCACCCACAATAATTAGCCCAAGATAACGTGAACACATTATTAGCCTACCTAGCCAACAGCGATGCGGTCAGCCCACCTCCTTTTACCTCCTCCCAAATTTCTTCAATTTCCGAACAATTAACCCCCCCCCATCTAATCTTCTCTCCAAAAAAAAAAAATAAATAAAAAAAAATTAAAAATTCCCTACTCTGGGCCACACCACACACTAAATACTTACCTCACGGGGTCCCAGACACCACTGTATGTCACCACAGGGCTCACACACACACACACACACACACACACACACACACACACACACACACACACACACACACACACGTAATAAGCTACATATCACCACAAACATCCAAATCCACACATGGTTACTAGATATTTTTTACCACACATACCTTCCCTACCACTCTCATCACACAAATGACCTCAAGGAAATACTATGTAGAGTCTCACTGTCACATAAAGAATGACTCTCCAATGAACGAATATCCTCAAACACTAACCCACTCCCTTTACTCCTCCTCCCTTTTTCTCCCAAGGCTCTCCTTCCTACCATTCCCCCTCCTCACCCATATCCTCTGTCTTTCCCATTATCCACTTTCTTCCTCTCCCTCTATCTCTTCCCTATTGCTCCCCCACCCTCCTCCCTCCCTCCCTCTCTCTCTGTTTGTTCACGCTACAAGTTGACTCACCCTTCCACATTCCTATTCCCCGGAAGGTTAATATACTGTACACCCTTTGTAGCTAGCTGGTGACAAGACCCAGTGTTGTTAAGCAGTGTGTCGTGATCTGAAACTACTACTATTACGTTTTTTTTTTAAACGTGGCCTCCAGCCTCCCCCAATAGCTACACCATCGCCGACATTTTATTACCTTAAAATTAACTATCCTAATACATAAGTAGCTACCCTGGCTGTGTTGAGTTAGTTGAGCCGCAGATCTATGCGGCATACAGTGACTGTTGCCTCAAAATCGATATCTGCGACTATTGTCGGCTTTGGGGCCGATGCTCTCGTTCCCCTGAGGCAAAGCAATGCAGACCTAAGCAGAGAGAAGGACAGTCGACATCTCAACCAGGCAGCAACGTGGCTTCTTGGGCTGCTGCTTCTGTTCATATAACTCCTCGGCCAGTCTTGCATAAAAACATCTTGCACTTAGTCCCATCCCACCAGAGGTTGTGAACACCAGAAGAATGAAGCTGTCTTGATCAACATTCTGAATTCTCTTGGATTATACCCTATTCTTGTTGTTTTTGTTCCTGTTGTGTGCAGCATCGAAAGCTAGGTTAAGGTGATATGCTACTGCTACTACTACTACTACTACTACTACTACTACAGGTAGGGGGTGTTGTGGTGGTATGGTTCAATTATCTAAGGAGGGTGCTCTGATTTTCTGGTATACATGTCTCGTCAAGTATGGTCATTCACCTTCCTGCCACCATACACCCACCAGCCCTCTCCCACAGCTCTTCACAGCACGTAATAAAAAGTTCCGTCTCATTAACAGGTTTTTCCTCTCTGTATGAGAGAGAGAGAGAGAGAGAGAGAGAGAGAGAGAGAGAGAGAGAGAGAGAGAGAGAGAGAGAGAGAGAGAGAGAGAGGAGAGAGAGAGAGAGAGAGAGAGAGAGAGAGAGAGAGAGAGAGAGAGAGAGCATAATTCCACCTACAACACATATCAACCAATCACCACAAAGATAACCATCAACAATGCATAATATTAGATAACAAGTGTCACCATCCACCTCACGCCCCTCTCTCCTTTCCCGTGTAAATACAACATGATTCTCATCCTAGCCCCTGTGATGTGACCCCCCCCTCACACCCCCAAATACACTGACCTGGTCCTCACCATGGCAAGAAAACACAGCCACAAGCTTCAGTTCCAGGATGAGATGACGTCAAATTCATTCCACGATTCCCTGAGTTAAAAATACTGTTAGTGGAGGTGCTGAGGACTCCCTAGTATACCCAGTCAATGTTTTCTCCAGGAAGGACGACAACTACATCACATTTTAATACAATTCAAGGAAGAAAGAAAAGAAATCAACAACACTAACCAACAGTATTCCAGCGCTTCGGCAAACCTTTCTTATATTATACTTACAGCGCCTCATCTTTCTAGGAAGGCTTCCCACTAATGTGACTGTCGACTTGGGAAATCAAATCCGTATCAAGCCCGCATGTTTCACTGTAAGTTTCTCACCAGTAATGTGGGTTTTATTTCCAGCCTCTGAACTTTTGGTGGTTAATCTTTTCAGGCGGGAGGGAGGGAATCACTGTGTCCCTGTCATGCTGTGGTGGGGATGTGGTAAAGCAACAATATCCAAGAGAGTTATAGTTAGTCCCTGAGCACCATGACGAGACTCAAATGTCACGCATTAATCTTAAATATTTTCCACGAACTAAGGCGACATTTACAACTTTGAGGATGTTTACAGGACTTGTTAAACTCTCAGTAAGGAGTTGTCAGCCATCTCTCTAAAGAACGTTCCTGTGTGTCTCAAAATATAAACTGAAACCAAATTATACAGACTCAACATTAAA